CAAGACGATAACTCTTGAAGAAGTCAACATATGGTTATAAATTTTGAGTACACATATGTTACATTATAAAATACATGTCATGTTCGAATTTGGGTTCAGTCTACTTAATATTTACAAAGTTATGTCCCTTTTAATTTCAGATTAATTTTAATTAAAGAATGAAAAACGTATGTATCTGATGCTGCATTCCCTATAACGGGAAAAGTAAAGTTAAAGTGCTTAACAAATCTGCTGTTTTTAAATAAAACTATATGTGCATAATGTGACCACATATGTTGTGTAGAATTTTAAATATAAGATATATCTACTTTGTGTGTAGTCTAAACGTGTTTTCAATATTTTCTAATATTAAATTAAGCATAGTATATTTTTAATGCCTTATGAAAGATATAATTCATCCTATCGAATTTCCGTTAAGCAATTACAGGTTTTTCATGCAGTCTGACCAGACCGTATCCTGCTGTAAACAGGTCAATAAAGAAAAACTAATCTTTAAAATAATTTTATTAAATACATACCCAAAAGCGGATATCAGTCATAACAAGTATTGTATATATACATGTATATATATTGTATTGCAAAGCTATTGTATTGTTTGACAATATTGACCTGAGACTCATCAATTTCAGAAGCTTTATTGTATTTATTACGATTTACTAATTGGTTATTAATGACAGGAAAGTTCTCGATACTTTATTTTTGATACTCAAGTCCCTATGGCCTAGTGGTAAGTATGAGAGCATAGATATCGCGAGGTAGTAGGTTCGAATCCTCAACAAACTGTTTTTGTCAGATTTCTTTTATCATTTTTTTAAATCGTATGCAACTTTAGTGAATGAATGATTTCTTTAATTTCTTGTGTCTTTTCTTAAATTTTGATATCAATATCCATATCAATTTCATGGCATGTTAGACGTTGCAATATTCAATAAATTTAATTTTTAATCTATATCCAATATTTATATTGTATAACTCTAATTTTATATGCTTTACCATAATATGTATTCTATCCTACTAAAAATATTTGTTCATCAAAAAATATTTGTGTGCGATAATTTTCTATATAATTATATGTTCTATATTTTAAAATATATATTGTATAATTTAAAATATTTATTGGATACAAAACTTAAAAATATTTATTCGATAATTTGAATCATGGGATAGAACACTTAAAATATTAAGCCTCGCCTATAAAGTAAGCACGAATTTCTGATCCTGATAGACTGTAGTGTAGTTGAAATGATCAGTGTCCCTGTGAATGTCACTTGTAAATAGTGCCTCTGCTTTATCCTCCTTATAAATATATATGTATGTCTGAAAATTTTATAACGCAAATAGATTGAAAGTAACAGCGAATTAAAAAAAAACATGGCAACGCACACCTAGCGCCGTGCATAAATTTGCGCTGACGATAGGCGCTTTATGAAGCGTATATTTTACAATATGACATAATTATATTTCAAAATACAAAACGTCATAAGCCATATTTGACGTTATCAGAAAAAATGACTTCATTTAAACCAGATTTATCTCTGCAATCACAATTCATATGTCACTTGTAAAAGAAAAACTCGCGTTAAACTTATGCTGTCAGAACGTCATGAAATTCGATCAGTAAGAAATTAAGTAAGTCGAGAAACTCTCTTAAACGTAGAAAGGGATAATGGAAAAATAAATAAATTGTCATTGTCAAGAAAGGGTGATTGAGATAATGAAAAAAGAAAAAGTGAGAGAGGCAGAAAGAAGAAATTTAAGGACGTTGGTGACGTCAATCGTCGAGAGAGACGTTGAGAAGTGGTAGGCGATTGACTGCGGACATTATAAACGATGTTCGACAGTAGCTACGGACTGTGCAACGTAACGTTGCTTTTCATTGGATAATTATAATAGTTATATAGCTTTTTATACACGGATGCTGTCAATTTTTGAAGAAATCATTTTTTTCTATAAAAAAAGATCATTGCTGTATTATAAATTTGCTATGAAGATTTTTACAGGATATATGGCCGTATATAAACGGTTGCAGCAAAACCTTAGCTACGCGGTTCGGCAACAAACGGCCATATAACCTGTCAAAAAAAAACAAACGGTCATATAACCTGTCAAAAATCTTTCTAACTAATATTATAATACTGCACGATTATCCAATGGAAATCGACGTAACAAACGTGCAGTAATATAGGCTAAATTAAAGATGTTCGGCATATATTCTTGATGTTAGAATATGATAAACATTTCAAGCAAAAAAAACTTAGGGGTCACCGATCTCATTTTCTGGACATGAATTTCATTTTTATACTAAATTTGGGTAATCTCAATGGAAGATACGTCTGAAAAATCTTTTTTCCTTTTGTAATGTTTTCAAGTAAATTTTCCATATTTTCAACAACAAAATCCAATATTTCTTTTACCTTTTTCATATGAGGTAATTTTAATTTTTTTTAAAAATATACCATTTTTGAAATCACATACCATTTTCTTCGACGAATGTCACAATTTAAGCAAAATTAGAAAAACTCAATATTCTGTTCTTTACTAGCTACAAATACAGAGAAAGTTAGCAAACAAAAATAAGAAAAATGGGTCTTATTTACTTTCCATGTGATAAACTTGAAAACGAGATCGGTGAATGGTTTTCTCTAATCCAAAGTTTAGAACATTTTTAATTCTCCTAAAATGTTATCGTTTCAGTTATTTCGTTTTAGTTTTGACTGTAAACTCTACTTACTAAAGTAAGAGAAGAGTTGTACTCTATTTAAAAATGAATTATGTCAAGTAAACCCTCATAAAAGACAATAATTGTATCGCGTTGCAATCAAATCGACCGCCGTTTGCGTTGTAAACAATTTTTGTCAGTTCTCTTTTTAAAAAGGCTATAACAATTTTCAAAGGTTCTAAAATATGGTTGATTTGTGCATTTATCATACATATCATCTAATGTTGGCGTATTTAGTGGTCGTTTTGCACAAATGTTACGTGTTTTTACCAAAAGTAGGCAGAAGTGGCTTTCCCTCGTCAAACTGTACAGAAGTGATTGCACAAATGGCAATGAATTGCACCGTGTGCGTGTAATAAGTTGGAAAGGTACATATGTGGGCTCCAGTCTCACTAGGTGTTTCCAGTTAAACATTAAAGTATTAAGCAAAACTCAGTCATAAGCTTACCGACAAAAGCCAACGGACATATTTTATCCACCGCTTCTGCGACGAGGGTTCGATAGACCCCTCGCTTCTGCTAAAGCTATGGCCAGTGTGATTATTATGTTCTTGATTTAAAATTGTATTAATCATTTGACTATTCATCGTAAAAGTCCTATCGTGATTTTTTTACAATTTATCAGTCCCGTTCAAATTGGTTATGCATTATTTATTTTTTTAATAATGACAATTTTATTTTTAGTTGTTTTATTCTTTCATTTTCTCGTATGTATGATACATTATCATGCAGCAAAAATATATCAATATAAGACATATACTAGTTTATTTCACGTGCAATTTTCAAGCAGTCAAGTTATAGAAGGAAAGAACGGAAGTTTGCGTCATTACAAGAGCTCATTTATAACCATAAGTCTATTACACCGACGTGTTCATATACAGTCTGTACAAGTCGATGTGATATACTGTACGGTTATAAATGACCTCTTGTAATGACGCAAACTTCCGTTATTTCCTTCTGTGTACAGTGTTTACAAGTCGGTGTAATAGACTAAATATATATACAGGCAGTGGTTCAGCCGCAATTTACAACATGTGAAACACGTATTGGCCTACTTCTTAAATGAGTAAAGAGCTGCTCCGTTAAAGACAACGTAACGTCAAATTTTAAAGTTATACCGTGCGCACGGTCGCTTTTCATGTACATTGCATTAACGGCATAACATTTTTAGTTGTTAATGTTTCTTGTTGGTATTTTTCGTTTCATATAGGGGATATATTCCGATTTATGTTCCGTGTTTTTTATGTAAATGCATCTAACATGATACCCTCAAATAGGTTCATATCGTGGTTAAATTATTAGGCATATGAAAAACCATTATTATACGGTTGCTATCCTGAAGATTTTAAAATCTATTTCTAATTTTACATATACATATACATTTATAAGGAGGATTAAGCATATGCTTTATTTACAAGTGACATTCACAAGGACGCTGATCATTTCAACTCCATAGTCTAGTTTAATCAGGATGATAACGCTTTATCAAAACTTTCGTGTTTACTTAATAGGCGGGGCTTTGTATGCTAAGTGTTCTATCCCATGATTCAAATTATCGAATAAATATTTTTCAGTAGGTCTATACAATAAATATTTTAATTATACAATATATATTTTCAAGTATAGAACATACATATAGAAAATTATCGCACACAAATATTTTTAATGATAAACAAATATTCAGCAGGATTGAATAAATATAATGGTATAGAATATAAAATTAGTGTTATACAATATGAATATTGGATATAGAACAACAATTTAATTTATCGAATATTGCAACGTTTAACATGCCATACAATTTCATAATTTCAATTTATAAAGTTGTTAAATGGGTGATTGCCTTGCACAAAATCTTAGTAGTTAAGTTTCGCAAAATATATATGACCAATATATATATATATATATACTCGACCAAGTAAACCGTTATGCCATACTCAAAAATCCGTATGATTTACTTTAATTTACTTCGGAATCCCACAATTACCACCAAAAGGTGATTGAGTATTCAAATAACTTGGGTCAATATTGCCAAACAATATATATATATATATATATATATATATATATATATATATATATATATATATATATATATATATATATATATATATATATGTATATGTATATATATATACATGTATATATATATATATATATATATATATATATATATATATATATATATATATATATATATATATATATATATATATATATATATATATATATATATATATATATATATATACAAACAATAACTTTAAATTGGGCGGTTGAAATGAATTTTTTTTATAAAAATTGATCAGTCAAAATCGTTTTAGTAAAGTGAATTCAAAAAGTAATTAAAAGGAGCTCCACGTAGGTCCAAAACATAATATGAACTCTGGAACAGGATCGCATATTGCGGCGCATAAATCCGAATCCGTACCGGCTCTACAGATGTTTTGTCCGACCTTTTAATATCTATTCATATTATACGAGTGGGTGGTCTATAATTATATTATCTCAATTTAATATAATCTGCTAGTTTAAAAATCAGTCAAATTTACGGTATATTGAAAAAAGAAAAGGAGTGACATCCTCTATTAACCACAACGTTCGGCGTAAGTTATCCCCCTTGATATGCTTGATTTTTGTTTGAATTTTTCTAGTACTCTCTTTATGGCAGTCAATACATGGAACACTTTCACATTTCCTTGTAATAAATACCAGATGAGTGCCTAAAATATTTAACTATGGATCATGTTTTAATATTCTTTTTTTCAGTTAGGCAATATCAGTTGGACAATGTTACTATTATAGCCTAAAGTGTCTGTTTTCTCCATGTTAACAAATCAAAACACGAATACGACCGTTATAATGCAGCCTTTACATGTCAACACGTATCAACAATAAATCGTGAAAGTTATATCCGGACGATACCTGATAGTTGACAACGATAACGGGAACAAAATTCTGATAAAATAGTAATCAATTGTAGCCAAAGGGAAAAATATTTATGCCGAACGTTGCGGCGGCAAATGGCGGATGTCGCTGCTTGTCTTTTTTATAATACCGTAAAATTATGCTGCTCGTATCAGTATTCCTGAGAAAGAAGAAAGGTCGTCATTTTGTCTATCCAATTCGGAGAAAGACATTCCACCAACTCGAACATTTTCTCCTTTTCGAACCAACGCAGCTGCGCTGAATGACGTGCATTTTGCATCGTTGGCTTCATCAGGCACAAAGAACTCTCCGGTTACAATCGAATTATCGCCAACCTTTATGTAATAATTTACACTTTGAACACCTTTCTTGATGCAAATATGTGCATTAAACTGATAAATCCCGTCAATGGGCGCTGTGAATATCCCCGTATCATTGTCGTACGAGTCGCCTTCGTTCAGTACAATTTTTGAGAATTTCATGGCTCCATTTCCCGTGATGCTATAGGAATCCATTACATTAAAGGCTACTGTCTCTGAAATATGTTAAATTATGCTTTTTATCTAAGAGAATTTGCAGCCACAAAGGTTTATAGCAATTAAAAAGTAAAGAATATTGCATATCACACACCAAAAGAAACACAAATAAACTGATGAGTGTGTTAAAATTTAAAAAAAAAATGAATGATAAATCATGCAAAATGATTTATATGAAACAATTTTAATCAATAATAGTAAAGAATACATGAAAGATATTTTACAGATATATTCTCATAATTTCATATTTATTGAGAATATAAAAAATGAACAGATACCGTTGTTAGAATTAGGGGAGAAATCATAAAGCCAATTCAAGGCCTCACTTTTGATTTTTGTGCCAAGATGCTGTGACTTTATATATGTACTGTTATGCCTTGCTTCTTAGTGCTACTGGCACATTTAGAAAACCAATTAAGATAGAAACAAAAATAACAAGATGTATCTTTAAAAAGATATTTGGCGACGGTTAATCTGCCAAATCTGCCTTAAATTGCAATATATCTATGATACTTAAGAAGAAAAGTGAGATTTCGAAACTCCTTTAGATTTATTTAAAAATTAAGACCATATCAGAAAGGTCCTTTCTATTAAGTTTTTAGAGTGACCAACAAGACCCATATTTCAGTTTGTAATTTTTAAATGACCTATTTGTATTCAGTACCTCCCTGTTACACTTACAGGAAGTCAAATTGATTTTAGACGGCCATTGGCCGAAAAGTTGAAAATAAGACTCACGTGTTTTTTTCTCCGTTTCCTGATCCAACTCATTTATTTGCTTTTCCAAAGCCGCAAACTTGTTCGACAAGTCTAAAAGTCCATCCTTGCAAGTGGCGTTTAGTTCACCTGTAACTGCCTGTAAGTCATTTAAACCGGAAGTACTCTTCTCCAGATCTTTCTTAATATTTTCCACATTAAGTGCCACGCTTACCATGCTCTCTAAAACATGAAAATAATTTAAGAAAGAAAACAATGAACTGCATGTAATGTACCTGTATTGAAAGGAAAATGTTCGTAATTGTCCGTTACATGTACAAAGGATTGCGAATGCTTGAAATCATCGCATAACCTACTAAGCGAAACATAAATTCAAATTTTGTAAGGGAATGTTACTCTTTCACCTGTGTTGTTATATAATTGATGTGCATTAAATAGACAGCCACTCTAATCAATCTCTTTCCGAACATATCAATTCATTTATGAAAAAAAACGTGTCTTTACAAAGATTTTAACAATTACTTTACATGTATTTTGGGCTGTAAATAGCTTTTAATATTTTGTACACTGAAGAAGAATTATTGTTCGACAAAGATGCCACACACAAGATGTCCTATTTATATCTTTGCTGTAAAAAACGTTGTTGATTTTAAGAAGGTTATTCTGATATGCATTTATCTGTGCATGGTGATATAAGTAGGAAATAAAGGGCATTTATGATTATTTATAAACAATAATTTCCCTACATCACACCTACATATACATATTGGCTTAACGTCATATGACTGCTCACAATAAATAACAAGAACTGGCATGAAAACGTAAGCTCTGTAGCAGAATAATATGTACACATTGCTAGATGAGTTTCTGCACAACACAGAAGAGGTAAGCCGATTAGTATTCATGGAGAGCTAAGTGTGCAGTTTTACCCAATTATTACAGTAAGATTTAATAAAATTATGCACTGAAATCTATGACAGTAATAAAACATACTTTTTGTAACGTATTAGCTTAAGTTCAATGTTTTGACAAATTATTAAGCTGCAACCAACAAAACTTGCAACCATCCTCAACCAAAAGACTTTTCAAAGCTTTTCAATGTCGCAAAACTATTTTGACCTTACTAGATTTAAACGGTAATAGGTCTTTCATTTTTATGATTTGTATGGTGAATTGGTCAATAGTTGACATGTTATCAATACAATTATTTATGTGATGGTGGTATTTATAACTTAGGCAAATAAGAAGATGAATGAATTTAAAATATAGCATTGAATGTACGTTTAAGACTCATCTCATCTGTAACCCCATTTAAGTTATCTAAACCGGAAATTCTCTCCTCAGGGTCTTTAATGATGTTCCCTTCAACTTCTGTCATATTTCTCATGATCTCTGTGGCAACGTAAATACTATGCAAGAATAAAAATAATGAAAATTTATGAATATTTTAACTTTGATTGAATGAAAATAAAGGAAACGATTGTATCAAGTTTTCTTTTAGGCAACTGTGGCTTCAGAACAGGTTTTGGGATGTTGCCATGACAAATATTTTATTCTCTTTCCGAAAATAGGCAAAGTTTGCCCATCTATATAGGGATAATATCAATATAATAAAATATTGGGTCTTTTCATTTGAATTAGCTTTTATAAGTCATTTTGTCAACTAAGGTCTAGTTTGCGCAGTTCGTCAGAGTATTTTTTTTAACTATACGAAGAGAAATTTGTTTTGTCAAATAGATAATTTTTATAATTGATTATCGGCAAATGAAATGTATAATACTAAATAATGAATTAAATGCGTAAAATAACTTAATAATTCAAATCAGTATAATAATTAAAAACATACAATGCTGATGATGCCGTGATGTACGGATAATTATAATGATGGTGAACTGATAATGATGATGAACTGATAATGATTATCTTGATGGTGATGATTATGTATTGCTGATATGGTGATGATAATTATTAATGTGGATATTAAGATTATAAATACTGATAATATTTTATTAAAATCAGTTTATGCACATTCATTGGCTCAATATTATAATGGCAGAAAAAATGGTGATTTAAGCTAAAAAAAACTGTTCGATGAGTATGGATTTAGCTCTGTTTTTGTAAATGATGAAAGTATGAATTATAAATTATTTGTCAATTTGTTTAAGAAAACTGTAACGGATTGTGCCTTACAGTATACAGTAAAAAGGGGCTATAACATTGAGAAAAATGGGGATTTGATCTGAACTTTATGGTATTACATTTATCACATATGTACCAAGAATTGTGCAATTATTTAATAATTTACCCATGTTATTATATAATATATTATGTTATCATCATTCACCATCCATCGTTGTGTTTAAATTTATATTGGATTTTGGAATTTTATATTGATTTTCAGTTTCCCCACCCAGTCCAAATCTGCATTATAACAGGTGGTGGATACAGTGGTTCGTCTGATGCACCAAGCGAATAGGTACAACATCAAGTGCCGGAGATCGTTCAATTTTGCCAACAACACCAGTTAAAGCAACGGGTATGTGGTTCTTGATAAAGCAAGCAAGGAACACAAATACCAATCAAGCTGTGAAAGCCAATAACAAGGAAAACCCGCCTGGTACAACAAATACAATATAGACAAATCCAAGAATACACCTGAAAACAAATGAAAGATTTAAGGTCAGTGAAAATAATAAGTTATGATCATATAAATTGTAAAAAGCACTTCCAGATCGAAAAGTCCAGAAAATGGATTAACAAGGATAAATATTCTATTGAGGATGTGCAAGAATATCTTATAAGGAAAGTAGCTAGGAAACCTTTCATGCACAAGATGATGACTCGCAGCAGAGCGCGTGAGGATAAACAGGATATAGAGGGTTAAATTGTCTTGATTGGGATTGCCTTTAGTTTTATTCTCTGATAAATCCAATTGGTACTTATCTATAAATTATTTTCCCTTGTTTCGGAACAGGTCCCCAAATCAAATTTTTTTTTTCAGGTAGCTAAGCCAACTTTATTTGTGTTTATAGTGCTATAAGATGGCTGATCACCATTCAACCCGGCTAGCCTGCATGCATTTATTTTCTTTTAGAACCACCCTTACCAGAAATAAAAGTTGGGGGGGGGGGAATGCTCATTTGGATCCTGACCTTCTTTTTCTGTTTCACCCAGCCAGAAACGTGCAGTCAGTCATTATCAATGTTAAATGATGGAAATGTTTTTAAAATATTGCTAATTTGCAGTTTTTAATTGCCAATTCCGGATAAACTAACACTTCCTGTCATACAGACAATAAAACGTGTATTGGCTCATAAACACGAGCAGGGCCGAAACATCCTTTGGAATGGATGTATTGATGCAATTAAGCGCCTATCAAGGAAATATACATTGTTATCTGTTCTAGCCTAGGACAAAGCTACACTTTCCGGTACACACCTATGCATCAGGCCAATGAACAATTTAAATTTTTATGGTGTACATATCTTTTCTGTGTATATACTTGTATTTGCTTTGTGTCTTTTTATTGTTACAATGTAAATTTTGTAATGCTATTTCATTAATGTACTCGTATGTTCTTAGTCATTTCAACTTTGGGGACCAAAGTTTTAGGGGTCCAGGCAATTGTTATAATGTAAATTTTATAATGCAAGTTTATTAATTAGTATTGTAATTATACCCATGTATTTTTATGTTCATGTCATTTCAACTTCATGTATATTGTATGTGTACTATGTAATTATTTTTATATTTTTCCTTAAAGATAATATGGTCATGTTTAGTATCAAAATGATCATATGTTTTTATAGAGTTTTGTTAGAAACATTTATTACGGTAAATTGCAAGTTGACTTCAATAAGGAGCTTTTTCTTAAAAATTGTTTTTAAACTTATAAAAATTCCCCATGTTATAAAAACACCTCTAACCAAAATTTTTAATACAATATGGCATTGTAAGTCGTAATGCTTAATAGTAACACAGATTAGTTACAATAACTCTCAAAGGCTTAAACCCAAACCAATTTGTTTATTATTTGTGTTTGCAAAGTTAATGGAAATGGCTTCCTGTTATTTTTCACAGCTTTCGGCAGTTTTTCTGTATAAAAACTTGGTGGATTTGCCTATGGTCATCATTCACCATCCATCGTTCTAAATATGAAGTTGTGTTTAAATTTATATTGGATTTTGGAATTTTATACTGATTTTCAGGTAAATTTATTTCAATGTTCTTTCATTTTTTTAAAACTAAATTTGTACAAGATATTGTACTCTTTGTAATTATGATTTTTCATTAAGTTCTTAACATTTAATATTCTTAGTTTTATTGTATATAACATTGTAATGTGTGTACAAGTTAGAACTTGTAGTACAAAGTAGCATTATGCTGATAAATCTTGTGTAGCGAAATATCAAGCAATATGCTATAATGAGAAATATTCTATCCACTTTAATGTATTGCTGTAACAAAATATAAAATAGAAGGATAGAAATTTTAAATCTAAATTTTTTAACATGAATTATTTTATACTATTTTCTTAAAATTTAAATTCTTAATTTTTATCTGCAAACAATGTATGTTTGATTCAATTAATTATTTTGTTCTTTGTGCAAATTAGATATATTTTAAATAAATTAATCTTGGTCAATAAAACAAGATAATTCGGCTAATTTCTATATTTTAATTAAGTACCTAATCGCTTGGGTTAAGTCATCGACCAAGATCTCGGTATACCTTTTCACTGCCAAGCTAATTAATAAATTGTAACTTATGTTAGTTAAATTAATTGTATATGTATATCATTTTGCTTCTTCCCCTATTGTAAGAATGTAATGTATACCATAAATGTTACAAATTCAATTAGATATATTAGTTTTACTTAATTACATACTTATGCAATTATTTTATAATTTACCTATGTTATTATAAAATATATTGTTATCATCATTCACCATCCATCGTTCTTAAAATAAAGTTGTGTTTAAATTTATATTGGATTTTGGAATTTTATATTGATTTTCAGTTTCCCCACCCAGTCCAAATCTGCGTTATAACAGATGTTTCCTACAACTTCTGTCATATTTTCCATGCTCTCTCTGGCAATAAAAAGTGAAACAAAATACTATGCAAGAATAAAAACAATGAAGATTTATGAAAGTAATGACTTTGATTAAATGAAAATAAAGGAAACGATTGTAACAAGTTTTCTTTATGGCAATTGTGGC